CTCTCAGCCTCACAGTTTAACAACAGTGGGACCCACAGCATTGGGGTGGGGATGGGGACGTGTCAGCATGAGTGTCATGTGCCTGTAAGAACAAAAGCCCAGCCCAGCCGATGTTTTTGGCTGAGTGTTGACCTATGAACTAGGAGGTCATAGTTCAATTCCTGGTCAGGGCACACGCCCAGGTTGTGGGCTTGATTCCCAGTGGGGGGCATGCAGGAGGCAGCCGATCAATGATTCTCTCTCATCATTGATGTTTCTCTCTCTCCCTCTCCCTTCCTCTCTCTCTGTGAAATCAATAATAAATAAAAAGAAAATGAAACGCCCAGACTTTTGCAAAGGGAACGAGAAGAGAGACACGCCCCATCTGGCCACAGGTCAGCTGTGGGACCTGGACAAGTTACCATGTCTCAGTGGACCGAGCGGCCGTGGATAGGACGAGGTCCGGCCTTTGTGTGTGCTGCTCCAGGCCTGTCTGTGATGCCTGAGGCTCGCTCTGCAGTGGGTGCTCCCTGGGCCCCGGCCCCCAGAAGGCCCGGTTCCCTGCGCAGTCCCAGGAGAGGGGGGAGCTCTCAGGAGCCTCTGAGGTCACGGGCATCTCCACTTGGAGGTGGGATGTTCTAGGTCAAGGCAAGACCTGGGCGCCTGGGACCCGATCGCCCTGCCTGTGCCCTTGAGACCCCTGGGGTGTGGGGGTGCTGGGTGCAGACCCCACAGGCCCTTCCCGAGCTCGACACTCGCCATCACAGGACACACGGAGCCCTACTGTGGGCCCGGCTCATCCCACAGGCCTGCCTCCTTGAGTCTGTCCAGTCCCCGCGTGGCTCCTCCACGTGAGCTGGCTCTGTGGTCCCCTGACCGTGGCTGCGATGTGTCCACAATCGCATCACGGTCATCGTAGCTCTGAATGCCGGGACCGCGTGTACACGGAGTGGCCACAGGGGCTTGGTTGGGGTCCCTGAGCTGTCACAGTGGCTGTGAGTGCTGGGCACAGGGATGGTCCATGCCCTACATTCCACCACTTCACCCTCCCACCAGCCCGGGCGGCAGGCAGCCTGCATGTTTTACACACTTGGAAGCTCAAAGTGTGAATGATTTGCCCAAGATACACAGCGAACACCGTCGGACCCAGGGCCACAGGCCGAGCTGCTTCGAGTCCACACTCCCTCCACTACGTGGCACCTCCGGCCGCCTTCCCAGGGGGAGAAATCCACTGGAGGACGACCGTGATGGGAATATACTGGTGCCCGCGCACACCGCCCGTCTGCCTGTGGAGGGGGGCCCCCCCGGGGGAGGCGCCATGTCGGGGGGAGCCTTTACCCGGAGCGTGTCCCCCTCCTGCAGCTGGAAGGTGCGCGCCCACAGGCGGATGCCCTTGCCGGCCTCCGTCTCGATGCTGTAGATGCACTCGTGGTGGTTGTCGTAGTTGGACGGGAAGTTCGGCGACAGCAGCGTCCCCTCGTTGCCCGTGACCCTCGCCCCACACTCAGCTGAAACGGAAGGGGAGAGGATGTGACGTGAGAGGCCTGGTGCGGACAGATACAGTTAGAGCCATGGCAGCCCTCCCGTCTCTCACTGGGTCTGGGGTTGATACATTGTAGCCACAGATCCGTGACCTTGACCTTGAGTGTTTCCCCAGCTGCACAGGCAGGTGATGTTCTTCTTTCTTTTTAAAAAATATTTGTATTGATTTCAGAGAAGGAGAGAGCAATAGAAACATCAGTGATGAGAGAGAATCATTGACTGGCTGCCTCCTGCACGCCCCACGCTGGGGATCGAGCCCACAACCCAGGCCTGTGTCCTGACCAGGAATCGAGCCGTGACCTCTCCGTTCCTAGGTCGACGCTCAGCCCTGAGCCACGCGGCCGGGCAGGATTTCCTTATTGCTCTCAATAGGATGCCGATGTTATTTCCGCCCCAGTTACTCTCATCTTACATGGTAGGCAATGGTGTAAACACCCAGGCAACAGGGTAGCGATGCAGAGATAATCCAGATAAAACAGAATAACGGCGAGTGGATTATGATAATCTACAGGCTGCTTTACGCTGTGTGTGTAGAAGGATGCTGTGACTTCCCTGAGGTGAGAGTTTCTGAGATCTTAAACTCTGTCGGTAGGTAATTTCCGACCTGAGGGGAACGGCTCCAGGATTCCGGGAGCTCCGGGGCATCCATAAGGCACTGTGTGTAGTTTTCCTCGAGGGAATGTTCAAACCCTGCACCCAATTCTCAAATATCAAAACCACAGAAAAGGAAGGAGCGCTATTCGGGGAGGAAGTGGGTGGTAGACTTGTGCAGGCATGTGCCCTGGCAGGAGATGAGGGGCTCCATGCAAGGTCACTGCTGAACTGTTTGCACAGGGAAGTCCTGACTCGCTGACGATCTGTGCCTCATGAAACAGGGAAAGACCGTGTTGGCTTTGGAATCAGGGGATATTCCTAAATAACGCGACAGCGGAAGAGGCTCTCCTCACGGGAAAAGCCAGGTTTTCCTAAGCTAACAATGTAGTGTTTGGAGGGCTAAGGAATCTTATTTTCACAACTTCCCCGCCTGCCCCGAGGCGTCCTGGGGAGGTTGGCGTATGCACTGCGGGCGGGCGTGGGCTCAGTGTTCTCGCCATCAGGGGAGTCGCGGGGACTCTGAGACAAATGCCCGAGGCTCGCTATGCATCAGCCGTTCTCTGCCCGTCATGGGCAGGTGGGGAGGCCGCGCGTGCCCAGCAGCAGGTGGGCGGCAGGTGCGCGGCTTGTGTCTGGGCCGAGGACCAGGCCCTGTGACGTGCAGGCAAATCGCTATCCTTCAGCCCTGCAGCCCCGACTCCTGCTGCTCCTCCCAGGGGCACAGCCCAGACTCGCAGGGATGTGGCCACTGGGCCCCCCTAACCACCGTCTGCCCAGCGAGTCTCCAAGCGCCTGCAGGGTCCCAAAGGTGTCTGGGAGCCCCTTGTCGATGCTGCAGAACAACCTGGACATGTGGACTCCCGCCAGATTCAGTGCCCACTCACGGGGCTGTGCCCGTCAGCTGATCAAACTGAGAGACAGCGGGACTACAGCTTTTACACAGTCGCCGTCCTGTACCAGAGGAGACACCTGCTTTCCATCAGCACAGCTGTCAAGGGCTGTGCTGCTACAGCCTGTCCAAGGTCGTGTTCAACAGTCCTGTTCCTGCAGCGTGTCAGCAGTCGTGTTACTAAGAGTGTCAAAGGTTGTGCTACTACAGCGTGTCAAGGTCATGTTACTACAGCGTGTCAGCAGTCGTGTTACTAAGAGTGTCAAAGGTTGTACTACTACAGCGTGTCAAGGTCATGTTCCTACAGCGTGTCAGCAGCCATGTTCCTACAGCCTGTCCAAGGTCATGTTACTACAGCGTGTCAGCAGCCATGTTCCTACAGCCTGTCCAAGGTCATGTTACTACAGCGTGTCAGCAGTCATGTTACTACAGCGTGTCAGCAGTCCTGTTACTAAGAGTGTCAAAGGTTGTGCTACTACAGAGTGTCAAGGTCGTGTTACTACATGTTAATAGCCATGTTCCTACAGTGTGTCAAGGTCGTGTTCCTACAGCGTGGTTTCCAGCTGTTACTTTACCTCGTCTCCTTGTATAAATATGAGTGACGCAGTGTCGCTCTCCCTCAGTCATGAATGTGGGGCGGAGGAGCCGACCTTCCAGCTGAGACGGCACAGCCGGAGGCTCCACCCGCCTCCTCTCCGGCAGGCAGCTACGTGGCCAGGTCCACGCCCGCCCTCGCCCTCGCCCCCGCCCTCGCC